GTTGCAGGAAAGTATTATAATTAAATGTCCACCCACTTTTTCCTTTTTGATGAAAGGCTCCCATGAAACTTACTAAAATAAGGTACATCAAGATAGATGAATTTTTGATGAGTAAGTCAAAGCACTGACAAAGCTGGCTTTTCACATAGAGAAAATTATCCAATTCACAGAAAATTTTCCAGCCTAGATCACTAACACTGTCATATTTAATGACAATTAATATGGTAAAATCCATGAAGTAAGCCTGAGATTTTACAGTTTTAGTCAGTAGCAACTATAGTGTTCAGCATGAACTGACTTCCTGAGAACAAACTGTAATACGATTCAAAAATAACAGTGGGATTTTAAAAGTTAATTTTGGAGAGATGTTGCATAATAGGTATTAAAATAAACAATACATTCATTGAATTTAAGGCACTCTTCTAAAAGATAGTTAAATCACCAAATTAAAGTTACAAATACATCTCTGAGATGGACAAGTGCTTTCAATTAAATTTTTACACATTTCTTCCTAGGAAGATCTGCAGCAGTGTGCATAGTGTCTGCTTTGGTCAATTAAAGGCAATGACATCTGAAAAAATATCCTTATAAATAATTATTCTGAAGTATCTACATAAAGCAGACTAAAAAGGCACTCTACTTAATAACTGGGCCTAGATGGACACCTCAAGTCCAATTACTAGAATATCCAAAAATCAACTTTTTAGAGAAAAAGAGAATGGAAGTTCATTATAATATTTTTCTCCTTTTGTGGGGGAGGGACTTAATTGAGTACTAGCTATACAGTCCTTGTTATTAGAGAAGACTACAAGCAATAAAAGATGAAAACCTTGCTCTCTAGAATGACTCATTTTTAAGATAAATATCATATTTTTAACTTCCTGTTTAATAGATATTATTAGTGGAAGCCAGTAGAGCTAATGGTGCTCCAAGTCACCATCAGGATGAAATTACAGTACTTGAAAGCATAATTCAATTACACCTGTCATTAATTGCTAATCAGTTTGTTAACATGAATTTTAGCTTGCTAACTTCTTGACTCCTTGCTGTCATTTTCACTGTGGCTCCATGGATAGAAATACAGAGTAACTTGAATGTTACAAGTAGGAAAATATTTACATAATTCTCTGTTCAGCATAACTAAATCAACAACAAACATCTAAGTTTTCTAGTTTTTAGAACTATTCAGTATTTTATAACCATTATTCAATCCATCTGTTCACATTACAGCAAAGTACATAATAATAGGACATCAGACCTGATTCCACGGGCGAATACAAATGTACAGGCCCAAATTTTTGCCACTCTGTTCCTCATTTTCATTTATTTTCTCAAATTGTCAAATCCACTTGGCTTACTAATTATTGTCCATAAAATTTTTTAACACTTTAATTTTGTGTGAGTGTTCAGTTCCAGTTCTGCCTTACTTAATGAGTTTCCTTACCGGCATGGAGTCTTTCTTGAAAGATCTGATAGGGATTCTTTAAAAATAGACTTCCCTCTCCCACACTCCTCTTAAATCTTAATTCAACAAGTTCACTGATTTTCAATTTTGGTGACAAACATAGTTGTAACACCAAATCCGAGATATGTTACAAATAACTTTATCTTGAAGTCATTTAGAATCCAAGACTTTCTTCCTTGCTATGTCAAATTACCCAGCTTGAGAATAAGACTGGTGTAGGTACGTGCCTGTGCAGAGTTTAGAAGCAGGGGGAGAGAGAGGGATTGGTAAGCGATCTATACAAGGAGAACTCACAATGTCCTCTGAAATTGACATATTTAGCTCTTCTATTTCTCAGAACTCTTTCACAGACACTCCTGTCTCGGTGTTCATGGGAAATTAATGATGATTTCTCTATTGCTTTCATGAAACATCTTCTTTCAAAAAAATGATTATCCTGGTGATAAATCAGTGTCCTTTTTCTTCTTTTTCTCCTAGAGATATATATCCTAGTGCATAGGCAGTATGCTTAAATACCATTTTATTTGCGACTTTTATTGGAAAACTCTATATGTGGAAATATATATATATATATACATAAGTATAATCTATCATCTATCTACCTATCTCTCCCTCTATCCATCTTGCTATATAAGCAGTAAACTTAAAAACCATTTATATTTGCTATATGTCTAAAGAAACTCAAAGTCCCATGACTGGGAATGACCTTAGACATTATCTTGCTGGAACTTCATATAGATTAAAGTAAATAAAGCCCTAAATAGAGAAGTGTAGTAGATCAAAAGGGGCCACAAATACTTTTCTCTTCCTTTCATTAAAGATGGAATTTCACCTCTTACCTGCCCTTAAGTCTGGCCAGACTGTGTCACTGCTACGACCAACAGAACATATTAAAAATGGGTTTATGCTAATTTCTGGGTGGAAAAATTAAGAGAATTGCAGCTTCTACTTCCTGCTTCTTACTTGCTCTGACAATTTAGCACGTTGAATCCAAAAACTCCTGTGAGAGGCTGAAGCCACGTAAAAAGGCATGCATTAGTGCTCTAGTCAACAGATGCAACTCTCTCAGCTCAAAGTTAACCCGCACTTTAAGGCGTGTAAATTTGCATCTTGGATGTCTGCCCTAGGTAAACTTTGGCAAGCTTCATTCTAAGCCAGTAATTGAGAATGATCACATGAGAAACCCTAAGCTAGAACTGCCCAGCTCTGGCCAGTGAATGCACAGATCTGTGAGAGGCAATAGAAATAGTTCTGTTAAACCAGTAAGTTTGAGGATGCTCTTTTACATAGTGAAAGCTCACTGTAACTGAAAGTTGCTTAGCCAAAAATATTTCAGAAATACTAAAGTGAAACCCAAACTTAGATAGCATACCTATTCTAACATAATCTCATCATGATATATAGAGGGAAGGTACAGATTAAATAAACCTTTTCTCATTTTCTCATTGCTTGTAATTCCAATGCTTTTGTTCTTTCAGTATTCACACGGAATAGAGAATTTTCAAAGTTCTCAAATATTTAAAAAAATTCCTGGAGATTTTGTCTATATAATAAAACATTATTTGACATAAAAAAATAGCATCCCCAACTGTTCTTAGAGACAGTGCCTCAGTAATATGCCATGAGAGACTTCTTAGCATAACTGAACTGGGGAAACAGGCCTAAATTAAATTATTTTAATCTCTTTAAGATTTTTCAAGAATGTACACTCTCCAAGAGGACCAATTCAGATAACTTTTTCCAAAAATTATTTGACCAAATCGCCTTTATTTAATGAGCACAGTGTGAGATTTATGAGAAAAACTAAGAAATAGGTAAAAGATGCTATTTTATCAGCAGCAACCAAATTTTTCTTTAAAACTATTTCAGAAAAATTTTTTTCATAATTTGATATGACTGTAGGTGAGAGAACACCTTTTAATTACAAAGCCACAAGCATCAGGTACTATACTAAATTAGATGACTTTTGCAACCTGTTCCTGATCAGAACTTTTAATATTCTCCTGTGGATATAGTAAATGAATATATGAGAAATGAGGACAGTAAGGAATAGATAAAACTAAATAATAAATTACTAAATCAATTAAAAATTTTTAACTTAGAAATCAGTACCAAATTGATTTAGGTTTTGTACTTTTATTTTCATGAAAGGTCAATTAAATTTGTAATACTGGGCCTGTCTTACAGAGTTTTGGGGGGATTTCAATGAAATTTTAAAATTGGATATGGGCTGTTAGGGCTGAAATAATAACAGTAATCATGCATTCAACCATTCATTTCATTTTCTAGTTGGGGATATTGAAATCCAAATAAAGAGTTTACAGGTTTACAGTATATTAACTGTAACATGTTAGCCTACATTGGAAACCTCCTTCTCAATTGTTTAAAGCTGTTAAGAAAGTCCTCAGTTTCAGTAAAAATTGTGTAAAACGTTGTGTTTCCGATTCAGGTGGTAACTATTTTTCACTTAAAAATCTCACAAGCAATTTAGACCACAAAAACATATAGAATTAACTGCTGGTGTTAGAAGGTGTGGCAGTCAGAAAAATTACCAGTATTGCACAGGCACTAACAGAATAGACCCTACCCATAAAAACTGGTACAGCTACACTGGTAAATGACAGCCCAGTATCAGACCAGATTTACCAATCTGGTAAATTAACCCCTTCCTCCCACTGGTTCTTGCTCTTGTGCATATTGTTTGTTTTGTATTTGTTTTTGTTTTTTGGCACCAGGGATTAAACTCAGGACTTTGTGCTTGCTAGGCAAGTGTGGTGCCATTGAGCTAAATCCCTGGCCCCTCTTGTGCATACTGTTATCTTGCTTGTTATAAATTCTCCCTTTCAGGTTCCCTTTTATACTGTAGCTCTGTTATTGATGCCCATAATACAATTGGTTCTACTATCTGTTGCCTGGGAACTTCCCAGATCTTTTAACATTATGCCATCCATCTTCCAAAAAGCATGGGTCTTTCCCATGTCTCCTGTTTCTAAGCATAGGAAATTGTAGTTGTATTATCTCTTGCCTAACCCACTATGCTTAATTATTCACAGGTATCTGTATCTCTATAAAGCCTATATTCTTGTTCTATCTCCATGTTATATAGATGAGTATGTTTTAAAAACCTGAAGGAGTCACATTGTCATAAAAAATATTAAAAACATATACACACAATAAACTGAGGTAGACTGTTCCATGCTTTTAAGTTAGAATGGAAAGAAATATTTGTAAGGGTAATTTTAAATACCTGTATTTAGCTAGTTCTTTTGTGAAGTTCTAAGAAAATATACACTAAAAATAAAACAAGAGGAGGGATAATTTTATAGCCCTTTCTAAATAAATGGCTTCTGTTTCAAGCCTATGGGGGAATGGTTTATACTATCTGACATACACACCTTCCTATAACCCAGGCCCGACTCTGCTACATTTGTAATACATTGTCAAAAGTTTTCATTTGAGTACAATTCAGCAGTAAATGGAAAATGGTAGTCTACTTCACCTAGATTTAAAGTGGTTACATTTCTTGCACACTTACCTCTACAAGCCTGCTGGTATGCTCATGAAATATTGCAGCATATTCCTTTATTTCCTTTTCCCTGCCATTCTTAGCAGCTTCAATGAGAACCAAAAGTGGGACTGTTGTATCCAAGAAGGAGTCTGACACATGATCAATAATAGCCTTGCGGAGCTGAAGAGAAAAATAAAAATCAATCCTGCCAGGTAAGTATTTAAGTTTTTTTTTTTAAAGGAAAAGGTTCATATTATTTTCTAGTCTTACAATATCAATGATTACAAAATTCATTTCATGAATTTTAAAACATTCCATAAAGTTCAAATATTCAACACTGAGTAGAAAGTTCCCTTACAAAAGTCAGATGAACAAATTATCCAGAAAAAAAGTTAGCAATAATTTCCTCACTCACAGAAATCACCAATCTTCTCTTAAATTGTACTAAGCCTATAAATCAGACTATAACTGGTAATACTCCATTTTTTTGTTTAAAGAAATTACAGTATTAGGATGTTTATGCATGTGTACAATTAACATGGTACATCTTGTATTTTCATAATTACAAAATTATAATATGTTTTCTACCTTACTGGAGTAACTGATGATAAATTTTGATTAGCTAAATTATAGGCTTCATGGTAATTAAAACAAGTCAGATCACCGATTGCACCAGATGATAACAAATTAATAGAGCAAGAAGAATAATAAATGATTTTGATGTCCAATTTTCTCATTTTCATTAAATGTTCTTATCCTCGGACCTTAAATTATCAAACAACTATAACATTCTGCTACAAATTGTTCTTTTAAATTAGATTACATGTAAGATTATAAATGACAATTAGATAATTACTTAGCAGATATTTTCTTTATTAAAATTTTTAATTTTTATTATTATATGTTTGCCACACATAATAATTCCATTAATCCTGGGGAATTGGTATAGTTATATAACACAACTTTGCTCTTTGTACTTCCCTTTCCCCTCTCCTCCCTCATCTCTCTCTTCATCTTTTTGAGATTTCAGACTGCATTAGAAAATTAATTCTTTGCATTTATATGATATTGAGCCTTTATGGATTATAATAGGCTGAAATGTCTCATTAACAATGTCAATCATTATGAATGGGCCCAAAGGTTTTTCTATCAGCCTTCTCATTTAGTTTAATAATTTCTGTACAATAACAAAGAGGAAAAAATATAGGTATTAGAAAAAAATTAAATTTGCCTTTTGTGAAAATTATATTTTAGGGTATTTTTAAAGTAATAGAAAACATAATGTTATATTTACTAAGAATTAATAGTAATACATTTTAAAGGAGATGGATAATAGAGCTGCATATTTGAAAAAGCATTACCTCCCTATAGTAATTATAAGATAATAAATATATAATAATTATAGGTTCCTGGCAGAAATACATCTGCCCAAGATGGTAGCATTTGCTCAAAAGAGCTGTGGAATTTTCTGGCTACCAACAATTTCACAAAAGCTCCAGCCAGATCCCAAAAAAGATTCTGTTTAGTATGCTGAAGGGCTGATCACTAAAGGCAACAAATTAGTATTTACTGATCACTTATTAGGACAGAGTGCAGTGTGCTGAGAAGTTGCAAGGAAAGGAGAGGTTACATGAATGAATAATGAGTTTGCTGTCGATGGGGAGTAGATCGCTGATGTCAGGTAAGAGCCTGAAAGTTAGGACTGTAGCTGGGAAGTACATGATGTGTGAGCTTCAGATACATAAGCAAAAAATAACAGTAAACTTTCAGAAGAGGAACTGTTTTAAATGGCCAGCTCTCTCTTCTATCCTTTTCTTTCTGTTACTGAAATCTGTAACCGGGGCATGCACAGAATGTCTGCACTAGAGATAAGCTATTGAGAGCCTCCATACAAGCAGTAACTCAAGCCTAGAGTGAATGGAACGGTATAGAGGAGACTCACTGTGGAGAGATATCCAAGAATGAGGCTTAGGAAAGACTATCGTGTATGACAGTCATGCAAGTGGGAGAGCAGAATTAAAAAGTCTGAGATAATGGCCAAGAAACCAAAACAGGTTACCAGCAACTAAAAGACAAACTTCAAATAAATCTATGTGTCATTATCCCCAAATGTACTTCTCTCAAAATAAAATTATAATGTCCATATTATGAACTTGTTGAATCTTTTCTGTTTATTTACTTTCGTTCAAATCAACAAATATTTCTGAATATTGGTTCCTCATCATCCTTCTCCTGAAAACAAGGAAGTACTGCGAGTAATGCCAACTCAGAAATGCACAATTCCTTATAATCCTCCCAGAGAAATGAGAATTATTAAATATTACATAACAGAAAAGTAACCTGATAAAGAGGTGGGGAGGGATGCAGGGTTAAGTCTTAAAGAAAATTTTAAAAAATGACTTGTCAATATGATTTGAGCACTAAGAGTTTATTGATGAACTTAGTAAAATCAGGGTCAGTGGAAAGGTAGGAGCAGGGCTCTTATTGCTATCATTTGAAGAGTGAATGAAAAACAATGTGTGAACTGAATGTAAGCTCCTTTTTCTAATAATTGGATTATGGCACAGAGATGCAAAACCGTATTAGCTACCTTGAAACATATCTTTAAAGATGGAGTGTTTTTTATATAAGACATTGATATAAGTTTATATCTGTAAGCACACCCAAAAAGGCAAACTGCTTTGAGCTTTCCAAAAAGCACATATTGATTTGTAACCAAAATAAAAAATCTAGAGAGAGAGAATAACTATAGTCTCAAATTGTAAACTCTTTAATTTTTGTTCCATGACAGAAGGAGCCAGAAATCATGGCATGTACTTGAGATCCATGAAACTTTTAAGAGACAGCACAGAACAGACAGGGAATGAGATATTTCTCCCATGGAAAACATCCTAATCTACCTAAATGACAAATCACATTATTAATTCAATAAAAATCACAATTTTCTCACTATTTCTATCTGACTTACGGATCCCTGATCCATTACCTTCATAGTTATGATTATGTACTACATTAGATGTCTTTTGATGCCTTACTTTTCATCTTCTGGACCTGTCTTTGACTTTAGCTGTGGGGAACAGTTTCATGTCCTTTGAAAACCTGTCATGCTTCTTTTATTATTCCATCTCGAGAACAGTTCCAAGTCTCTGTGAAATTTTACTCAAAGCACAAACATACCTTGGAAATCCAGAAGAGTGCACAGCCCTGGAGGCAACCATTACCAATGAGAATAGGAGCTACTGGATAAAGTTCCTAGCCTTCATCCATGAGTCAGATAAATTAGAGAGAAGGAAATCCTCAACTTCCCGTTACCTATAGCAGCAATCTCAAGAACATACCCTTTCTTTTCCCCATCTCACTTTTCATGTTCTCTTATACTTGTTCATAGGAATCACCTCCTAAACAAATTACCTTTATTAAGGTCCTGTGGTTGCTACTTCAACAGAAATCCATGCTAGAGCAAGTGCCTTTGTTTCTTGTTAAGGTTTGATCATTCATCAGGTAAGAGATTCCAACATCTTACATTAACTTTGTTGATCATAGTATGACACTTCTGCTTAGAAAAGCACTATGAGTCTGCTATGCCCAACATTGTGCTGATTGTAAAAGAGGAATTATGATAAGAGAGAACTTGATATGCAGATAGAGACAAGATACAGAAGTACTAAAGGGTCAGGCTAAGCAACATTCGTTGTATGTTCTAATCTGTTCATATAGGACTTTTTCATTTCATTGCACAATCATCTATTTGTATAATACTTCTGTATCTTTTATCTTATTTATTTCTATATTATTATCCTGACCAATGGCGTTTGCATTCCTTTCACTTAGAAACATTAAAAAAAGTTAAAGAAGAATCTAACATGCCAATGCAGAAAAAGAAGCCACTGTGCTAAAATCTTAAATTACTGGAAGCCAGTAGGAGTTAGAGTTATGCATGTTCAATAAATACCTGCTTGTAGTCAGACATGAAAGATGTCAGAACAAAACCAAACTGAGGGGATTTTCATCTTCCTCTCTACAGTTTAATAAAAGGTTTTGAAACATCAATTTTTCTATTTCCCACTGATATAAGTGTTTCGGGACCTCAAATAAAATATATTTTTCTACAATTGAAACCTAAAAGTGAAAGCCATATGTGAAAACTATGTGAAAGCCCCACCACAATTACCAAACAAGAGAAGAGAAAGAATAAAATTATAAGCAGAAGAAAATGGAAAGCAGAAAAAGTGTTGCAGGGAAAAGTAATCCTCGGGGAACTACAAAAACTAATATATAGATACATCAGTGGAATTTTAAGTGAAATAGCAAAATATGACTTACAAAGCTCAACTAACCAGTAGGAACTAAGTCAACTAACAATTCAATGTATGCCTGATATGCCAATTGAGTGGAGTAGGACTTGGGGAAATAGTATGATTGGATGATGATGATGATGATATAATGACGATGACCACGATGACAACTAGGACTTTCAAGAGCTTAAGCCTTTTCTTAGTGTTGTACTACCAATGTAGAAAACACAATGAACACAGAAATTCAGCAACATAGGAACTGAAGAATCTGTTTTTATAAGAATTCATTTTTGTTTGACTTACTATGGCACTGACAATTTTTCATAATACACACAAATAAAAATTTTAACCTGCCTTTAGTGAAATCAAATATATGTTCTGCACTTTATAGGACAACAAAAAATAGAATATGCTTAATTGCTTCAATTCTTAACAAAGTGACCGGTGTTTAAAAACCGTCCTTTATTGAGAGTTTCAATAGATAGAATGTTTTCAAATAAATGATGGGAGAGGAGGCTAAAGGAAAAAGAAACTTCAAGATTTAAAAAGGACATGAAGTATGAGGGGAATAGGATCATTCTTATAACAGAAGTACATATCCTGAAAGTGCTCCAGGAAGAAAATAATAAACATCAGCTGTTAAAAGTAGAAAGGGGATTATGGAAGAAGTAGCATTTGTACTAGTCTTGAATTTAATGAACAGGGATTAGGAGGTGGAAGTAAGGAGGGTGAGGAAGGTTCCGAGCTGAACATACTACGGACCTTCCATAAACATGCTGAAGCAAGCATGTTGGGAAGTAGGTGACAGAATGTTGATGAACAGTAATTCTCAGAAAATGGAAGAATATGTTGGTGCGCTCAAGAGAAGGACATGATTTTTTAAAAGCTATAGAAGAAAGAACATTAAAAATAAGTATGACATCAGGATGAACAATTCAGGGGGAAAGAATCACAGCAACTAATTTCACCAACCCTGAAGAACATGGATGCTTCCAAAGATGGCTCCCAATAGCTCCTCCCTTTTGTTCACACACGTATCACTTCTCCTATAAGAAACCGAGCTTCTGCCTGGTCTCGCTGATGTAGGTGATGCTTATTCCAGTGGTAATCCATAGAGTTTGGAGCCAAACAAGATTTTAAGGTCAGGCATTAAGTGTGGCAGTTTCTAGCTCTCATTTCTTGGCACCTTAAACCATCATGTCATAAATCCAGGCTTCCTTACTGGAAAAGATACATGGAGGGAATTTAGAAGACTATACACTACATGAAGAGAGAGAACAGGAAAAAGTACCAAGGCCTCAACACCTAACCTGAGTCCAGCTTTGGTCATCATTTGACTACTACTGATTTAAGAGAGCTATAATTCCCAACCTACTAGATATCAGATATGCTGAGGTCATGTCCCCTGAAATCAAAGAATGAATGTCAAGGGACAAAGGAGGTTAAGAGTAGTAAATGTTTATTGGAGAATAGGAACCACTCCTGAGAGACAGCAGGGGTCCTGAGTAAGTCGCCACCAGGGCCCTTTGTCAGGGGTAATTTATACCTCAAAGTCACAATGTGGGTCAAACTATAATCAATCTATAGGATTACAAGTACAGCTGTTTAGCTAATATTGATTCATTAAGGAAGTAGAGGAGGTAGCAAGGGCATATGACTAGCATGATTAACCTCGGCTTATCTATGAACCCTAAAGAGGAACAATTTGGGGAAGGGATGAGTCAAATTGTCCTGGTTACCCAAGTGGATATTATTCATATCTGGACTTAATGGACTTGGTGTTATCAGTTAGAGTATAATCTCGTTTCCATTTATTCCTTAAGGAAGTAGTTAAGTGAACCCTTGCCTTCTTCAAATGCGCCTCCAGCCAGTTTTGATATTTTTATTTTTTTATTTGACTTCCTTGAGTTCAGTCTCTCCCTAATTGTATATTAATTTCTATTTAACTTACCTACCTATAATACTACTACCTGGAGAGTCACAAGTGAAAACTACAGAAAAAAATCCTGTTGACCCCTAGCTAAACCCTGAAAGCATAAGATGGAATCATGGTTGCTGTTGTTTGTGGCATGTTGTAAGACATTAATGGAAAACTGAAGTGAAGGAGATATTGACCTTCCACAGGTGCCACATAGAATTTTCATACTTCAGCAGTATACTACAAACTCAACATAATTCCAATGAGGAAAGTATTTGTAATCCACAATGCTATTTCTATATCACACTGATGGCAGCAAAGTAGAAAAACAAGTATGATTAGAAGATAAATACAGGACACCTGGTTACATTTTAAATTCAGATAAAGTGCTTATATTTTTATATAAGTATGCCCCGTGCAATATTTGGAACATAATTATATTAAAACATGTTTGTTGCTAATCTGAAATTCAAATTTGACTGTGCATACTGTGCTTTTATTTGCTAAATCTAGTAATTCAACACACATGTAACTGTCTTTTCTTGATTTTTTTTTTTTTAGAAAAGTAATGACTCCAGAAGCTTTGGAGGTATAAATGTAGATTAGCTTTTTATACATAATGTTGTTGAAGGTAACATAGATGGGAGACATAAGAATAAGGTACATAATTGTTGATAGTTCATTGGAATGATTCTTCGAACAGATGGGAATGAAATCCTGAAGAAAAAGAATAAAAATCATACAGCAAAAAGGGTGAACAACTAAGAGAGTTAGAGTATCTGAGTTTCAGTTTCCATTCAAACTCAAAGAATCCTCTCTAGGCAAGTCGCCTCACCGTATTGGCCTGATTGTTCATCCGTATAACAAAAGGAACTGTGCTACTAAAGTATTTTCAACTCTTACGTTCCGTTCATATAAAGGTCATAAAGTTGAGAAATTGGGATTTTCACAGATTAAAATTGTATTTTTACACAGCATAGTTCAATGTCTGTGGATCCTTATTCTATCTCCAAATCTATTTTTGAATTAAAACATTGCTAAGCCACTTTACTAAATCTTCCTATTGAAGTAAAAAAATATATTACATTAAAAGCTTTTCGTTGAAAGCTTTTTGCCTTTCTTTTATGAGTTAATGGTAACCTGTAAAAGTTGTGTGTGAGAAAGAAGTCTGGTTATTAATCATTGGAAAGCAACAGAAAGCAAAGGTCTGTGGAAATAGTTACATTGTTATATTTCAAGAAAAAATTAACTGGTGACATAAATCGTACTTTTAAATTGTTTAGTGAAATCCTTTAAAGTAATATGTTCCCCATGATCCAAAGATAAAAAGCAGTATTTCTTTCATTAGAAATTCAATTTTGAAGCATCTTCAAAATAACCAAAAAAGAGAATTGGAATGTTTGAATAACTAGCTGTTTTCCATAAGTATTTGGGAATCGAACTCGGGTCTTTGCGCTTGCAAGGCAGACAGCAGATAAATTCAATTTTTAACGTGATAAGAATCAATTTACCAACATCTCCTAAAATCTTACTATGTACAAGGCATTATTATTCATTTTACTTAACCCTCAAAGCCCTATTGTGTATTATGAATTCCATTTAATAGGTTCAGAGAAGCTCAGAGAGATTAAATCAATGCCAAAGGTCTTATAACTGGTAAGGACAACGCTAGGGTCTAAATGAAATTATATATAACATTAAGGCACATACCATTGCTTCTATTTTATATTTTCCACAAAAACATTAGAGACATATAAATGTTCTTCTTTGTTCTAAATTAATTTGGAAAGAATGGAAACAAGAAATAAATGTCATGGCAGTGAATAAAAGTTTATTTGCATGTTTATTTCAGTCTCCCTGTCCTCTCACCTGTCTGCGAAGGTCTCTTGTTTTCTTGCACATGTTGTCTATAGCAATATTCAGGGTATTGCTCCTTTCTTTCTTCCCAGCCTGCAAAGAAGAAAAAAATGACATAAGCAATGGCATCAAATTATACTTTATCACTTAGCAATTTGCTCCCTAAATTTCCTGAAAATAACAGCTTGAAAATTCAAGAATAGTTTTCAAAACTGCTATGATATTGCATATGATTCATGAACATTCACTTAAGACTAAGTAGAATGGTGATTAAAGCTCACATTATTTTCTTCTTTAAGCTTCTGTAATATTTCTGATACAGGGCTTGCTTATATTCAATGTGGCAGGAGGCAAAGCATTATCTCCATGAAACTCCTGTCTTCATTCTGAACAAGTCAACTCTTTAACTACTACGCATGCAATTAGCTTAAAAGCATTAGATGCCCAATTTGTCAACTTCTGTAGGAGTTTCTGAAGTCATTTTCATGGTGTACTGTGTAAGTTATGCAGAGCCATATTGGAGTTTTGCTAAACACTAAATAAAATATGCAGTGCAAATTCATACAATTTGCAAAAGTTGACCACAATTTTAGCTGACAACATTCCAAGAACAAATTGTTTTAAGTAAGAACTGGATGCTGTTTTTGGCTCTTTAGAGATAATTTGTGCAACACCTTTTCATTCTTTCATCAGAACAATTCTCCCAGTTACATCCTTAACCTAAATCTTTAGTCTAGTTAGCGCATAGAGTCACCTTGGTTGATACTTTCTACATATTATTTTTGTGGGAGACAATTGGATTGAATGTAATCATACTTTTCAGTGACGTCTCATATAAAAGAAATTGGAAAAAAATATTATGTGATTCACCTCTAGGAATATTGCTGCTTTTAAATTAATAAACTGAAAAACGCTCTTAAGGAGAGACCTTGAAAATCAGGAAGGTGGTTTTAAGAGCTGATAACTGAGGGAGCGAACAGCATGGACTCTGTGACAAAGGGCACTGAGGCAAGTGCACACCATTAGGTAGCACGGCAAACATGTCCTCGTCACTAAACACACATGGAGACCCACACCTTCAAATGGAAGACTCTAACAAGAAATTGAAGACCACCTACCTTTCTGCCTTAGACTACCTGTGCAGTCTTATACCCTGACACAACTTCTCAATCACTATCCTTATAGTAGCAACGTTCCTCACTTCAGAAAGCACCTCCCAACACCTACTCAAATCCTTTCTATTCCTCAATGGTTTCCCTGAAGAATTCCCCCAAGAAACCAGCTCAAAAGTAAACACTCACCTTTCCTGTGTCAGTAGCATTTCCTATTTTATTCATTATTTTTCTGTGCATGCTCAGCACTGTAAGAGTCCCTTCACAATGCTGATATGGACTAACATATCTTAACATTTTTTTTCTATTTCCAATGGTATCATACATAGGACATATTAAATGGAGTTAACTAATTTATAAGTGAACCACTTCATTAAAAACACAAAATATAAAGGTACAAGATCCTGATGATAAATGTAACTGTTTTGTTTGCTTTAAATGCACCAATAAACATAATGGGGGAAAAGCCCCACAAAATAGTTTAATAGGGGGCCTACTATATGCCAGAAAGCTACACTACTAGACTTTGGAGAAAGTTTTAGTATGTAGCCCTCAAGGCACAGTTTAAGTCTTCTGTTAGCTAAAGTCATCGGTACTCACCTCAACCTCAATTGTAGAATTTTTCTATGTGAGTGTTAAGAATATCTAAAGTGTGAAAAACAGACTATCCTTTGAGAATATCCTACACATTGTATGTTTAACAACTGTGAACTCTTATCTACTAAATTCCAATACCAAACTCCCAGCCACTATCATAACCAAAAATTGATACCATACATTTCTCACAGCCACCTATCAGGAGACATAGTACAAGACAACAGAGTCTTTATGACATTTTTAAAGAGATTGGGGAATGTGTACATGATGAAAACTTTGGCTAGTGAAGGAATGGGAGAAAAGCAAAGCAGAGATACATGATATTGGAGGTACGTCATTTGCCGGAGAACAAATTAAATTCTAAATATTAGAGCAATTCTAGCAATGTATCCACCCATGTGGAAACTATGCCTACTGTCCAGTTTCTGCCAGCATCCTCCATACTACCAGTGGGGAATTATGAAGAGTCAATTCAGGGCTGCGTGAGGGAGTGGTATAAATATACAATGGGCTAGGAGACAGTTTCTAGTTTTACTTGAAGAACTTCACCTTTATTCTCTAGATTAATGCTTTATTAGCTCATGGTTATATTTCTTTACACATCATGAAAGCAGAGACCATCAAAAAGGGGACAGGAGTAGAACAAAGAAACTATTCCCCTACATCCCTCCCACACTCCTGTTGTATTGCCTGTAAAAACTCACTAGCTTCTGTGATGTGATTCACTAAAACAACTAAAAGATGTCAGCCTTTTCAGACCTAGCAGCAGAACATATGCAACTTAAATAAAGATGACAGGAGGTGACCCATGGAGAGCTTCAATAAAAACTTTAAAGGTGATTTTCTAATTTCTACCCAGAGTTTAACCTTAGTTTAAAATGTCTCTTTGGGTCAAAGACATTTTTATCTTTCAGTAATAATAAGCTCTTACACTAGTGTAAACCCTTACACTACACAGTAAAGTTCTCCCTTCTTTCTTTTATCTCCCTCCATGCCCCACCCCCAACTACCAATACTTTTCTTCTCTTTCACCTCCAGCTTTTTAATGGGTCTTTGCTCTAGCTATCCAGTTTTATTTGGCTTCACTTGAGACATTTTATACCTCTTTATTCCTTTTGCATGGCATAAAAATAAATAAAGCACGGAGAAATATCCCCATCCTGTTTAAAAGCCTTCATTCCTTCTGTTTTCAAAGGCTTAACAAATCATCAAGCAATGAGATAGGACTGAAAGAGAATTCTGTGTTCTGAGATGAGAGAAGGAAAGAGCAGGATATTAAAATAAAACCATAGATAACAGTCAGATCCTGCCTATATCCCAAGTGCTCAGGGGAGAGAATGCTCCTTCAAGGAATCTTTGAAGGAGCCATCATTAAGTCACGAAAACCTTGCTAATGAAAAGGGACAATTTTGAGAGAAAGTCAGGGAGAAAGAACTGAGAAAACATGCATGCATCAACATGGCCCACAGAAAGCATTCACATTCCTCATCAGAAAAAAAAACTGTAAGGAAAGACTTTATTTAAAAGAATAAACGTGGGTTTATTCAATGAAGTTTTATGAAAATTATTATTACATATCACAAATACTGATCCAATGTTATCCAGGTTTATACTTCTACAATTTTAACTAGGAATCTTTCCATGAATTCTGTCTCATCATTGACCCCATGTAACTAAGCACAGTTAACTGCAGTCTCTCATGGTTCCCTTAAATGTGCCCACACATTTGGAAAAAGTCTCTTCATAAATAAAATCTCCTTAAATACTCTAATCTGAGTGTTCCATCTGTTTCTTGTTGAGGCCCTGCCTACGAGAGCTTTCTAACATTGCATCATCTAATATGCAGTCTCTTGTCAACTGTGGCTATTTAAAATCAAATGTAAGTCAATTAAAATTAAATAACATTAAAAGTTCAGTTCCTCAATTGGAAGTGTTCAATTACCATATGTCCAGTGGTTACTTTATTATACACTACAGATATAGAACATGTCCATTATTACAGAAACATCTATTGGATGGTGTTCTCAAACATGCAAGAGTTCTTACTTTTATGCAAGTCACCTTTCAGTTAGATTAGAATAAAATAGAAAGAGAGGAAACCAACAAATGAAGCATTTAAGTCTTGAGATACTTACTTTCTAGAAGAGAATCTTGACTGGGTACAGTGAGACCCTGAGCAAAGGTAAAGGTCTTTACAGAATATTTGATACCAAATATAAAAAGTATGAGGGGAGGCCTGACCCTGCTGGTCTTTGCTACACCAAGAGAAGAGATTGATCCTGTAGAAGACTGGGAGTCATACAATTTAATCAAGCGAGTGTTACAGTCAGACAATTACAGCAAACTGGCTACGGTCTACACAATGCATTTGAGGAGATCAAGAATCAAAATAAGAAGGGTAATAAGGGAAAAGAAAAAAAATGTGAGATAATGAAAAGATGGAAATAAAGTGTTTGTAGATGGGGAGAGGAGGAGGGGGTGAAGGGAGGGCAGGGGCAAGGGGAAAAATGAGAATCAAGACTTGCTATGTAGAGGCACAAGATCCCAACATTTATCCCTAAAATGTACCAATAAACTCAATTAAAGCTGGAAAAAAAAAGAATCAAAATAAGAAGGGTAATAAGGGAAAAGAAAAAAAATGTGAGATAATGAAAAGATGGAAATAAAGTGTTTGTAGATGGGGAGAGGAGGAGGGGGTGAAGGGAGGGCAGGGGCAAGGGGAAAAATGAGAATCAAGACTTGCTATGTAGAGGCACAAGATCCCAACATTTATCCCTAAAATGTACCAATAAACTCAATTAAAGCTGGAAAAAAAAAAGAATCAAAATAAGGAGAAAAATTAGAAGATCTCAGTAATAGTCTACAAGAGATGAAAACTGTTGAAACTAATGCAGTGACAATCAGGACAATGATTTAAGGACTGGTATGAGTACATAGGCAGATGTAGGGGAATGATGGGCAAATGTTGGCAAGGAAAGGAAAGAGAATGATCTAGGCTTACTGTCCAGGTTTCCAGAAGTGACGATGGCCTGGGTGAGCTCCTGTGAACCGAAATAATCATTTTCAGGGAGAACCTGTTGAACACAGGAATGATAGTTTCTTAGAATTATTAAAGGGCCTGTGGAAAGCTTACTTCATTACTACTTGCCTTATTGTTAACTGTGTGCCTCTATGTGTGTCTCTCTCTAGTCTCTAATATCCTTGAGAAGAAAAACCTCTAGCATACATTTTATCCCTCATAGCATTGAGCACAGTGCTTTGTACATAGTACGAACTTGAGACTTATTTATAGAAAAATAGAGAAATAAAAAATGGGATATGATTTTGACAAATCCCCTATCATTATTCGGCATTAATTTCCAAACCTGTAAAAGAAAGTGTTTC